CAAAGATACTTCCAAGAGCAAGTATAAAATAGTATGTTTTATAGAGATTCGTACCAAATAACCACTATTATCCTTAGCCCCACGGTGGGCGCCAAGCTGTTTACCCGAAAACATATAGAGTTGAATTTATACGTAGTTCTAAGGATACGTGGTATAACTTGATACAAATTGGAAAGATAAGCAAATGTATATTTAAATTAGTTATAAAAGAAATGAATACAAACCCTAAATTGAATAGAGAGTGATTGATAAGAGAGCAATATGAATCAATATCAAAGCCAAAAAAAGAATAGCAGTTTCTTTGAAGTTCTTCAAGTCTTAGTGAATCTCCATCATCCTCCTCCTTTTACAAACGATAACCACTCTTATAGTGGAAGAATCATACTTTGGATATAATTAAGAATACATAGTGGGGATCGCATGATAGATTAATTAATTGGTTTTTTCTTGATTAAAGTCGTGATTTTCACCGAGATTCTCTCCCCAAATGCGGCTATAACGGCTTTTTTGTTCCTTGGCTCGATCTCAATCTTCGCTGGTCTTAATCTTGATCGGTTTCTGGGTCTCGAACTCGATCTTGGCCGATCTCGATATTGATCGATCTCGATATTCATCGGTCTCTTGGTCTCGAACTCGATCTTGGTCGGTCTTAATCTTGATCGGTCTCTGGGTCTCGAACTCGATCTTGGCCGATCTCGATATTGATCGATCTCGATATTCATCGGTCTCTTGGTCTCGAACTCGATCTTGGTCGGTCTTAATCTTGATCGGTCTCTGGGTCTCGAACTCGATCTTGGCCGATCTCGATATTGATCGGTCTCTCGGTATGGGGCTCGAGCTCGACAACCTATCTTCACATCATGGCTCAATATTTACGATGATGAGTCATGGACCATCATGTTCCAATCTCGATTATTGATAAGAAGGGTAGACTCGATTTTACCGTATACATACGTCAATATAACAATTCTATTTTACTTCAGCTAGAACAAACACTAACTTGTGATCACAATTAATAACAATTAATACTTTTTCAAAAAATTAGCAATTACACAAGTATGTAACCAACTCTATTCCATCTCGAATTTCTTTACCAGTGGAGACGTCCATGTATATTTGTTTTTGATACCAAGTCATTTTGGAGTCCAAGTCAATCATTAACGTGTCATCACAATTAATAATTCAATTTTTTGGTTATTTTGATTTTTTAAAATTAAACCCAGCTAAGTCGCAATAATTAAATTTTAAAATAGCAAAATAAAGAGAAAAGAAACGAAATTCCTATAAATTTACATATGTATAATTTAGAATTTTGGTTATTCTATTTTATTTAAATTAAAACAAGTTAAATCACAGTATATTTCAAAAATAACAAAATCAAGCAAAAGAAACTGTTTTTTCTTAGAGTAAAATATGCAAAAACAAAAATTAGGAAATACTCCTAGGATAGATTCTCCTTTGAAGACTATGCCAGTGTTAGATATGGTGTTTGCGCTCCTTTGGGTGTGTAATTTGCTGTAAAATTGTGATAGGATTTGTTGGTTGCAATAAGTTGATGCTTATATTTATTTCGCTTCTTCTAGACGAATATTTGATTGATGATTTTTTAATATATTAGTATCTATGAACGTGCGTTGCATGTTAATAATGGCACATGATGATTTAAACATTTATTTATATGAAGGAACAATAAAATTTAATTAATAAGAGAAATTTTATGTACAATAATACAACAATCATCAAAATGCCGAAAAATATTATTACATTAGCATAATACACAAATTTAAAATAAAAGGACATCATCAAAACTTACACAAATGATCAATTTTGTCATGTTAGTTAGATAATTATGTATTATAGTTTAAACGTATTTAACGTGATGATATCTTAACGAACACTTCTTTGTGGACAATATTTTTTTGTATACGTTTCCTTCTAATGCTTTGGTTGCTCTGCCTTAACCACAACCCTTGTTGTCGATCTTGATATCCCTCTTGAAAGTGTAACATACAGTTGTTTGTGCAAGAAAATATATTACGGTAAATATAGTCCAATATTTAGGATGTTTGTGCATGTGATTTATTTATTATATTTGCAAAACATAAACATAAATTTAAAAGGATATTCATTAGTTTCAGAAGACCAACGTTGAATTCAGGGATAAGAATATACTTAGAAGCACATTGACCAATATCATAATTTTTGCATGTATGACGTTATTGTCAAAACTTCTATATACCATCTGTGTGCTATTACATAAGCTATTTGTCATATTTAAGTTTTTCAGTAGCATGGCGAGCATCTTTTTCTTCAAAATCAACCTATATACAATGGAAGATCAACTTAGTCTATTATATATACGGTGACACTAACATACGTAAGAAATAATAAACTTGACGACAAACATGTATGGTAGAAGGCCATTTGGTATTAAAGTATTTTTCTTGGTAGTAATTATTGGTATGATATTCTACTGAGTCAAAAATAGAAAAATATTTTGTTCTTACTATAAAATCTTGCAATCAACCTTTTATTTAGTTGATCAACATATTCATTTCTGCTAGCTAAGATGTCTTTTTAATTCTATTATGCGATTTGCACAATTTGCGTTTTAATCTAATGATAGAAATATTTCTCTTATTAAATGCACTACTACTACCATTGGGATCGATAACCAAGTGTTTAGGAAGAACCAAATCATCTTTTATTGGATGCTCTTATTCGTTTCCAACATGAAGCCAGAAGACACTGAATACTGGATCTGTTCTTACTTTAAATTTCTTGTCAGTTGAATCTTTTTCATTTGAGGCCAAAAGTATAACTTTGGCAAGCTAGCTTTTACAATCTCTGTTTTTGTCGATTTTGGAACTGCTGGTAATACTTGACATAAATTACCTCCCAAACCATTAATTTTTCACCAAACGGTTCATTAATATCCAATATATCTCTAGAACTCTGTTTGACACTTAGCCATAAGTGCTTCATCCTATATTATCAATTTTATTTTTCTTATAAATTTAGCATTATTGCTCTGCTCTGATATATTTGTGATGGTTATTTAAGTTGTTTGAAGAGGTATATCAAATATAAAGTGAGTGGCCTCACGATAAAATCGTTGTTGGTACACCACTTGCTATTATTGCTAACAGTGCCATGCCTCTTGATATGATATTTGCAAGTAATGCATGACATAGTAATGTTATTTCGATTCCGCCGAGGCATATACAAAGAATAATCCCGTTATAGCAGAGTCGACTCTTTATAATATAATCTTGAAATCTTGTTCTTGTTTAGGATTTAGGTTTGATTGTGATTCCTCAAATATTTGTATAACATTTTGATTCTTAATAATATATTAACCCTTTTACTTTGTGTTCTAACGCTTTTTTTATGGAATAAATTTATGTACCCTAAGATGTTTTTTAATTTGAATAAGAATTTTACTCATGTGGTGAATTTAAAAAATAATTGAATTGGATTCTCTTGCTAAATAATTAATTAAAAGATTTAATTATTTAATTTTAACATAAAAAATAATCCATTCTATGTTGATTCAGATCTTAATATTAGTTCATCTCTTGTTTTGAATATTTAATCTCAATTATAATTTTATCCATCATAAATTTTATTTTCAAAGAGTAAAAGATTGATATGACATTTCACTTTTAGATCTTTATGTTTGTAGAATCATTAGTGGTATTGACTCTTACCAACCATTTTTTTCTCTCTTTCTCACACATTTATATTCTTAAATATTTTCTTAGTTGTTGTTTAATAATTGGGTATTTTTTTAATATTACACGAGAAATTGATAAAAAAAATATTATTTGAGTAGGAAAACAGTTCAAATATAATATAAAAATATATTATCGTGGGGATATTTTTTTTCTCAATGTCAACTCTTTATGTAGTCCATTTAGTATTACTTTTTTTTTTTTGTATTGGACATTATGGAGTGGTAACGTATTGCCAATACGTAGGATTCTGATGAAATTGATTTTATTAAACCTTCATACATATTTTTTAATAAGAATTTAATAGACATATTTTATTTATTTTAAAATATTAATTATTAAAAATTAGCATAGAAGGTATTGTAGTCCAAAAAATAAGTTATTGCAGTTATTCCCTTTCCCACTGAGTTATTCCGTTTAATATTTTAGGGCTATTTTGGTATATTAATATTGTATTTATGCTTTTATAATAGTATATACTCTCTTTTTTCTAAATGAATTTGGACAATATAATACATTCTCAAATTAAATTAGTAATAGGACATTATAATATGTTTTCAAATTAGATTAGTAATAGAAATTTTTAAAAAGTATATCCTAAAAGTAATACGATTACATGACTAAACAAATTTACTTGTTCAATTTTATATGAATTAGACAGACGGAAAATAATTATACTAATAGGATTCCTAAAGGTAATTATGTAAGATTCCTAACGTGTAATATTATATCCTAAAATTAATAGGATTATAAGGCTAATATATAGAATTACACTTATGTCCTTCTATTATGAGTTATTATACTTAATATTATAAGGTTATTTTTGTAAACCGACATTATATTACTTTTATAATAATATAGATATAGATAGATCGGTGGATAAAGGAGGACTTCTACAAATTATATGACTTTTAAAAGCTTATTAATTATTTAGACAAGGTACACGCGACTAGTTATAAATAAAAAGTACGGTTTGTTCAAGAAAAATTAGCATATAAAACAAAAAAGGAGTTGTATTTTCTCCTCCTTGTCCTTAAGTCCTCATCACTTGTTAATTTGTTTTCTCCTCAACCCAGTCTTGGCCACCACGTAAACACAGCTTTGACTTGTCTCTCCCTTTTCTCTATTTTCCCAACCTTTTTCAATTTCCCACATTATATTCATTATTATTATATTTAATCAATCAAATCAAAGTTGGAAAAAAAGCGGAGTAATAATAATCAAATGGAAAAGCAAAAAATGGAGGAGTACTATATATTATATATATACGAGACACCAGTCGCACAATGAAAGAGCACTCATAAGCTAAAGCCCATAATTCATCACGAAACCACAATATAGAGGAAACCTGACGTCCTTGAACCTCTGAAGACCTCCAAAAAAGCATCATGGAAATTGCAAAGGGCATGTCTGTGTTTCAATCTTTCTCATTTTCTTTGAGGTATGTAAGCCTTGATTATGAATCCCTCCTAAACCCCATTTTCTTACGTGTCATTAGTTGTTCTTTGCACCTGGGATTGTTCCTTGTAATTCTTGGGCTGTGTTGTTGGAATACAATCAGGAGGGACAATAATGCTGGCCACAAACAGAGTACTACTAGGAATGCTAGGTTCTTGTACTACAAACCAACCACTTTTTGTTCGATAGGTCTTGCCATCTTTAGCTTTGTGTTATGTTTGTTAACTCATTTTTACTGGTATAGAAGTGGTTGGTCAGAGGAAAAAATTATAACCCTTTTGGATTTTGCAATAAAGTTGCTAGCTTGGTTGTCAATCTCTGTTTTCTTGCACACCCAGTTCCTTAATTCTTGTGAAACCAAATACCCTCTTGTTTTAAGAGTTTGGTGGGGGCTTTTCTTTTCTGTTTCTTGTTATAGCCTAGTTATAGACCTTGTTTATGGGAAAAAGAACCAATCTTTACCAACTCAATTTTGTATCCCTGATGCTCTTTTCACTCTTATGGGGTTATTCTTCTGTTTTGTGGGGTTTATTGCTAAAAAAGAGAGTGAGGAGAATATGCTTCAGGAACCCCTCTTAAATGGTAGTGTTGTAAATGGCATAGACTCAAAGAAGTCTACTGGGGAGGAAACTGTGACCCCTTATGCCAATGCAAACATTTTTAGTCTCTTTACTTTCGCTTGGATGGGTCCCCTAATTTCTTTTGGCAACAAGAAAACATTAGACCTTGAGGATGTTCCTCAGCTTCACTTTGATGATAGTGTCAGAGGGAGTTTTCCTATTTTTAGAGAAAAACTAGAATCTGTGGGTGGGGGAAATAGTAACCGTGTGACTACTTTTATGCTGGTGAAGGCTTTGGCTTTCACAGCACGGAAGGAGATAGTGTTATCGGCTCTCTTCGTGCTTCTTTACTCTTTGGCTTCTTACGTTGGCCCGTACCTCATTGATACCTTAGTTCAGTATCTGAATGGAAAACGAGACTTTGATAATGAAGGTTACGTCTTAGTTGCTGCATTCTTCGTTGCAAAGTTGGTAGAGTGTTTGGCACAAAGGCATTGGTTTTTCAAGGTGCAGCAGGGAGGGTATCGGGCACGGGCAGCACTGGTTTCCAAAATCTACAACAAGGGTTTAACCCTCTCCTGTCAGTCAAAGCAAAGCCACACTAGTGGAGAGATCATCAATTTTATGACAGTTGATGCCGAGAGGATTGGTGACTTCGGTTGGTATATGCATGATCCTTGGATGGTAATCATACAAGTTGCTCTGGCATTGGTGATACTCTATAAAAATCTTGGCCTAGCTGCTATTGCCGCGTTTGTTGCTACAATAATAGTGATGTTGGCAAACATCCCTTTAGGGAGTTTGCAGGAGAAATTTCAGGAGAAACTCATGGAATCGAAAGATAGAAGGATGAAGGCTACATCTGAAGTCTTAAGGAATATGAGAATACTCAGGCTTCAATCTTGGGAGATGAAGTTTCTGTCTAGGATCTCGGACCTCAGGACTACAGAGGCAGGATGGCTGATGAAATATGTGTACACATCAGCTATGACTACTTTTGTCTTCTGGGTTGCTCCTACATTTGTTTCTGTGACGACCTTTGGCGCTGCAATGCTTATGGGGATCCCACTTGAATCTGGGAAGATATTGTCTGCACTCGCGACATTTAGAATTCTTCAAGAGCCCATCTACAATCTCCCAGATACAATTTCAATGATTGCTCAAACCAAAGTTTCTCTTGATCGTATTGCATCTTTCCTTACTCTTGATGACTTGCAGCCTGATGTCATAGAGAAGCTTCCAAAAGGTAGTTCTGATGTAGCAATTGAGATTGTTGGTGGGAACTTCGCTTGGGATGCATCCACCTTCACTCCACTTCTAAAGGATGTAAATCTTAGAGTGCTTAATGGCATGAGAGTTGCCATTTGTGGT